CTAATATGCCCAAGACTTGGTGATATTAGTGGATCAGGGTCTTTTCCCCACGTCTCAGAACGTGCATGGGTTTTTCATCTTCCCAGAAATGCAACTGTCACTCACTATCTGTATTAAACTCTCGTTTAATCCTTTGAACACTTCCACCGTCTTAGCATTCGAACAGACTGATACATTTCATGGCCGACTTACTTTTTTCTTCCAGCGATCGAGCACATGAAGAGTCGTACGTCGATGTTGTTTCTCCTCGAAAGAATGTCCATGCATTTATTAGCCACTTTTACCCACCTTTCTATATTCAGGTCATGGATGCCTTTGCCAATTATCAATCCTTGGACTTCGAACATATTGCCCTTAATCCTTCGATCCAGAAACTCATAATATATGGACATGGGAGGCTCTTCTTTTGTATCACCCTTGGACTATGAACAAATTGCTCTCAATCCTTTAATTCAGAAAGTTGCAAATATGGACATGGGAAATTCTTCTTCACAATCCTCCGCATGGGACAAGGCTGCGACTTTTTCCTCTTCTAGTGCTTCTGACTGGACAAGTTGGTCAAAACCTAAGTCTTGTGTTTTGAGGGAACGAATTAACCATCACTTTGTCGAATTTACTGACCCTTTGGAGTTCCCTTCTTATGCACGAAGCTCGGTGGTCTATCCTTACGTGCCCATTGACCATCGACGCAGTTTGGAGGAGAATCTGCTTGTGGCATGGTATACATCCTCGATGCCTACAAAAATAGCGCACGCCACCCAACGCCTAGGAGAGGCACAAGGGTATAATCCATCATTCTTAGCCCAGAAGGCGAAGATTTGTTCTTCTGACTGGCTTGATTATATTAATGCCCTTGTTCCTTCTACCCTTGTTCCACCTCCGAAAATAGAAGCATCCACACCTTCTCCCCTGCCAAATCGTTGTTGGATAGAGAGATTGAGGCTTGCCCTCTCTATAGATAAGATCTTTCCACCTTACAAGCCTCCACCTTCCCCCACTCTTGTTGAACGGAAACAAGCTCTACTTCTGCTCGCGGCTTTCTCTCATTTGCCCTTCAATGTTCTTGAGGATGAAGTTCCTCTAAAAAACCTTCGATGGGCTTGTGATATTCTGACTCGGGGTCATATTCTCAATCCCCTTGCCCAAGCAGAACTTCACATGTTTTTGGACCAGCTTCCGTTACTTCTCCACTGGCATCGGACCTCTATGGCCACTACACAATCTTTAGACCAACTTTCGTCCCTTCGAATTCACGCCCAGTACGAAGCAGAGAACTTCATTGAAGAATTCGATGATTTTAAGAACAAAGATTCTGTGTACTGGGATGACTTAGAGATGGATGAATTGGAACAAGGATTGAGAGAAACAACTTTCAAAATAAAGGCTAAAGAACTCTTTTACGAAGTGAGAGCTCATCAACTCATGCAGCCAATAACTTACATCCTCATCCAAGGAAATGACTTAAGAGAGGACTCAACAAGAGAGAATAATTCAAGCAAAACGCACACATACCTTGAGTCTTTAATTCTACAATCCTCCACAAGCTCCCAACCTTATTTCTTGATGACCCTCTTCTTCTCTAACTTTTCCCTCTCAAGCAATATGTGAGATGATGTATATATAGATAAGGTCTAAATACTTGTCCAGGAAGCATATATATAGAAGGTGAATAAGGACAAAATTTAATCGTTTAATCATCCCCAAATTGAAATTTCATCGAAGTGCTTAATATTACCTAAAATTTATGCTGATCACATATATAAAATCAATTTCGGATAATTAAGCCCCTAAGACTTCCAATTTCTGATTCGAACATTCTAATGTAACAGATACCCTTCTTATTAAACAGATAGACATCCTTAAACATGGGATTCACTTACTTAACTTTAATTTCTCATAGGATTTCACAATAAGCATTCAAAACACAAAATAGGGTCTAAAAATATTTCAGAATCCATGTACGAGGGTCGGGTTATTACACTCTCCCCCCCTTAAATAAGTTTGGCCCCCCAAACTTGTTTTACCTTAGGGTAGAAATAGATGCGGATACTGGTGTTGCATTTCCTTTTCTCTTTCCCAAGTTGCATCAGTTTCGTAGTGTTCTTGCCATTCCATTTTTACCATTGGAATTTCTCGGTTTCGTAATTGTTTCACTTGCCGGTCCATAATGCGGATTGGTTTTTCCTCATAAGTTAACTTGTCATCTAGCTCAATTTAGTGATAATCAATAACATGAGACGGATCCGCAAGATACCCTGGAAGCATAGAGACATGTAATACATTATGTACTTGACTCATATGCGGCGGAAGGGCAGGCAACCTGGTAAGCTACCGGACCCACTCTTTCCAAAATTTGGAAGGGACCAACATAGCGGGGTGTTAACTTACCCCTTTTCCTGAATCTTGGATGTCCTTTCATCGGAGTGACCTTCACAAAGACATGACCATCCACTTCAAATTCCAAATCCCTTCATTGGTTATCCGCATAACTTTTCTGTCTACTTTGTGCAGTTTTCAATCTTTCTCGAATAACTTTAACCTTTTTAGTGGTCAACTGAACAATTTCAAGTTCGAGTAAGGATTTCTCTCCCACTTTAGCCCAACACATGGGAGAACGACACGGTCTTCCATATAGAGCTTCATAGGGTGCCATTTCAATACTTGAGTGGTAACTATTGTTGTATGCGAACTCTACCAACGGTAGATGGGTTTCCCAACTTTCTTGAAAATCTAAAACACACATTCGGAGCATATCTTCCAACGTTTGTATCGTCCTCTCGGATTGACCGTCAGTCTGGGGATGGAAAGCTGTGCTGAACTTTAATTATGTACCCATGGTTTCTTGTAAACTTTCCCTATCTGACACAATTGAGACCGGTACACCATGAAGCCTCACAATTTCATTCACATAATTACTGCCAGTTTATCTGCATTAAACTGAGTCTTTACTGGTAGGAAGTGAGCGGACTTAGTTAGTCGGTCTACAATGACCCATATTGAATTCATACCTCGAGGTGTCCGTGGAAGCCCCACAACGAAATCCATGGTCAAATGTTCCCACTTTTATTCTGGGATTGGAAGGGGCTGTAGCAATCCTGCTGGCCTCTGATGCTCCGCTTTTACTTGCTGGCATTGCAAGCATTTAGAGACGAACTCCGTGATCTCCTTCTTCATACTTGGCCACCAAAAATTTTGTTTCAAGTCTCGGTACATTTTGGTACTCCCTGGATGCATTGAAAATCTTGAGGTATGTGCTTCTTCCATCAGTTTTTGCTTAGAGTTCAACACATTGGGGACACATATTCGGTTTCGAAATTTGAGCATCGTATCTACCAAACTAAATCCCGATTTCGACTTGGTTCCTAACTCATCACATATCTTTCTTAGTGTTTCATCTTCCATTTGATGCAATTTAATTTCCTCAAGTAAGGTTGGTCGGGCCATCACTACTGCCATTAAAGCTTCTTGCCCATGTAATACAAGGTCCACTTCCATTTTAGCCAATTCATCTGCTAATTCCTTTTGCCCTGTAACCAAATTTGTTAAAGTCCCCATACTTTTTCGACTAAGCGCATCCGCAACTGTGTTGGCTTTGCCAGGATGGTAATGGATCTGCAAATCATAATCTTTAAGAAGTTCTAACCACCGTCGCTGCCGCATATTCAACTCTTTCTAAGTAAAAAGGTACTTGAGACTTTTATGGTCAGTGTACACTTCGCAAGTAGTGCCATACAGATAGTGTCTCCATATCTTCAAAGCAAAGACTACTGCTACTAACTCAAGATCATGCGTGGGATAATTCTTCTCATGGGGTTTCAATTGACGAGAAACATAAGCGATAACTCTGCCATTTCGCATAAGTACACAACGAAGTCCTTTATGGGAAGCATCATTGTAGATGACAAATCCTTCAGTACCGAATGGTAAGGCTAGCACTGGTGCCGTAGTCAACCTTATCTTCAATTCTTGGAAAGCAGATTCCTTCTCTTCTGACCATTCAAATGCAACTCCCTTTCTAGTCAGTTGTGTAAGCGGCACAACAATTTTGGAAAAATCTTGAACAAACCGTCTGTAATATCCGGCTAACCCCATAAAACTACGCACTTCA